CATGGTGTGGCTTGGGCGTGACATCAGAGGGGGAGAGGGCATGAGAAGGGGGCCTGGCATGATCATCGGAGGGTTTCCCGCTGTCCCAAGCAGCCGGAGGACTCCCAGCAGGTCAGAGCCACAGGGTTCTCCATGCATTCGGAAAGGTCACTCTGGCAGGAGGAGGGTGTCTGGTTAGGAGGCTGTCCAGGCTCGGGCTGCCGCGGCCTCTACCAGGCCATGGCCACGGGGCAGACAGCAGGGGTAGGATCGAGGAAACCTGGAGGCAATGCCAGCAGACTCAGGAGAATAACGGATGAGGTGGAAGGTGAGGAAGAGGCAGGAGAAGGTGAGCTTCAGGTTCCCAGCACCAGCCAGCCAGGAGCAGACAAATGACTCAGCACCCACGTCGGGGGAAGCTTTTGTATTGCAAAGCCCTGGCTCATACCCAAGACCTGCCCCGGCCAGTCAAACCCATCCCCAAAGCCAGGACACAAGTCACCACAGATGCTGCCCTGTGGTCTCAGCCTGGCCCGGCCTCTCCGCAGCATTTCAGCCACAGTTGCACAGGTGTGGCTGGACCTGGACCTGCCGAGGGAGGTTCTCAGGGTCCGGAGGTGGCCTTAGGTGGTCACCGTGGTGAGATCCTGAAGGTATCTAAGAGGCCACAGGAAATACAGGAATACAGCCCGGTCTTAGCGGAGGCCAGGCAGTAGATGGGGCTCTGGGAGGGATTCCGGAGCAACTGCTCCCACGCTGGGGCTCAGGATCGCTGTCTGTCCAGGGATGAGCATGCAAAGGCCACATCCTACTGGGTCCAAGCTCTGGATCCCCTTGAGAATAGAACTCAGCAAATATGGCTCAGTGCTTCCCCCTACTGCTTACCTCTTGCCATTACACACTTAGTATGGAGATCATCCCCTCTGCCTGGGAGGAGCTGGATGGGCAGGGTCCTGACCCAGGATGGCAGCTAAAGAGCCTCACAAGGCTTCCCTGCAACATACTGTTTAATTTGAAGGCAGGGAGATGGCGCTTAGGAATTAGGTCAGAGCAGCTACAAGGAGAGCAGGGCTAGAAGCAAGCAGGTGTTCTGGTTATTGGAGGGCGGGGGGTAACTTTGCAGAAGTTAGCAGGTGTAAGCAGGGCATGGTGGCTCCCTCCTGTAATCCCAACACTTTGGGAGGCCAAGGCAGGTGGATCACCTGAGGTTAGGAGTTCGAGACCAGCCTGGCCAATATAGTGAAACCCCATTTCTACCGAAAATACAAAAATTAGCCAGGCATGATGGCGCATGCCTGAAATCCCAGCTATTCCGGAGGCTGAGGCTGGAGAATCACTTGAACCCTGGAGGCGGATGAGCCAAGTTGCAGTGAGCCAAGTTGGCCCCATTGCACACCAGCCTGGGCAACAAAGCAAGACTGCGTCTCAAAAATAAAAATTAAAAATTAAATTAAATTTAAAAAAAGAAGTTAGTGGGCATATATTCTGTGAAGACCTTTGGGCCGACGCTGCGCAGTCGCCTTGTTACAGGGGATTCCGCAGAAAAGATCCAGGTTCTGAGGGGCAGGGGCGGAGCAGGGAGCAGGGGACGCTGCAGCTAGCAGAGGCAACATTGGCTGCAGGGCAGCTCTGTGTAGCCTGCACCAAGAATGGTTTTTACATTTTTAAACAGTTGGAAAAAAATTCAAAGACGGAAGAACAGATGTGACCTAGAACATGTGGTCCTCAGAGTCTAAAATATTTACTATCTGGTCCTTGGTGGAAGCATGCTGCCTCCTGGCCTACACGAGGGCCCAGGCCTCTGTCACCTGAGATGGTTGTACAGAGTCAGGCACACTGTCACGGAGAAGCCTGCAGTGTTCCCCCACCCCAGGGGACCCTCATGCCCAGCACAAGCTCCCCAAATCCCCCATAGGCTCCGCCAGGGAGGGGAGAGGGCAGGGGGATAGGAAGAGGAGCGGAAGGATCACGGCTCAGGTCTGATCTGCTGGTCTGCAAGCCTCTCTCTGGGCCGTGCCCAGCATGGATGTTCAGGTCAGGGTGGCGATGCTTCCTCTGGAACTCTCAGGGGCGACAGACACAGCTGTCAGAGGACCCAGCAAGATGCTTCAGCCACTCTGGGAGGCTCCGACTGGGCCGGAAGTCCCCCAGAACCCACAGCATCTCCGGGGACCAGCAGAGTGGCCTCCTTCTTGCTGCAGATGCCGTCACAACAAAATGCTGCTGACAGCTCAGTATTCTCATTCACAGCCCAGAGAAGACACCCTCCATTCTTGCTGTTTCTGAGGGGAAAGGAAGTCATTCGTCTCATGCATTCAGGGAGCGAGATTTCTATCCTCCCGTGATTTCTCAGGAACTCATCATGAGGTAGGCACCCTGCTGGCAGCACAGCCGCGCTGGGTCCTTCCCTGGCACCACCCCGCAATGATGTCAGGTCCGCCTCCTCTGTGTGGTGGTGGGCTCCCAGACCAAGTTCCATTCTTCAGTGTCCTGGCTTCCAACCAGCAAAAACGCAGCCCAGGCTAAGAGCTGCGAGGGCAGGGACCTCTCAAAAGGAGGGTAAGAGGTGGATGCAGTGGCTCGTACCTGTAATCCAGCACTTTAGGAGGCTTTGGTTGAGGCCAGGAGTTCAACACCAGCCTGGGCAACATAGTGAGACTCCTGTCTTTACAAAAAAAAAAAATTGTTTTAATTACCCAGGCACAGTGGCATACACCTGTAATTCCAGCCACTCGGGAGCTGAGGCAGGAAGATCACTGGAGCCCAGGAATGGGAGGCTGCAGTGAGCTATGATCGCACCACTGCACTCCAGCCTGGGCAACAGAGTGAGAAGCTGCCTCTGAAAAGAAAAGTGAGGATAAGAGGTTTCCAAGGCAGTGGGCAGAGCATGGGCCTGGGGTCTGGATCCAGAGGTCTTGGTCCTAGCCTGTGGTCAGCAGTTGTGTGACGTCCACCCAAGGGAAGTGTGCACTGGTTAAAGGAGATAAAACTGGCAAGACGTCCATTGAGAGAAGACCCTCCATCAATGTGTCTTTCCCGTACATTTCCTTGACTGGTAAAATGGAGATAATAGCATCAACCCCTTTCTCACAAAGTAATGTTAAGGCTCAGGTGAGACAAAGGATACTGGAGAGCTTTGTGGGGCGTAGCTATAGTTACGCCTCCATCCAGCACTTCCTAGATACCACTCGCAGACTCAGTTTCAGGACAAAAGTGAACAAGACAGAAACAGTCCCTGCCCTGGTGTAGATTTCAGTCTAGTCTTCATCATGAAAGGTGGGATGTTTGCTACCACTCAAGCCCGTGGTCCTTCTGCTCAGGAGCTGGGGGTGGAAATGCACTGATAGATGGGCTTTCTAGTCCAACGTTAGTGGCCTCCTGATCTGAGGATGGTTATTTGAACCTTCATCTCTCCACCTGTCAAATGGGATCGTGTTTGTGAAAATTAAATAAAATAATATGTATGAATGCATTTAGCCAATCCATGCACACAGCAGAGCTTAAAAACTGTTAATTTAGACCGGGCACAATAGCTCACACCTGTAATCCCAACACTTTGGGAGGCTGAGGTGGGAGGATCACTTGAGGTCAGGAGTTGAAGACCAGCCTGGCCAACATGGTGAAACCCCATCTCTACTGAAAATACAAAAATCAGCAGGGCGTGGTGGTGCTTGCCTGTAATTCCAGCTACTCAGGAGGCTGAGGCAGGAGAATCACTTGAACCCAGGAAGTAGAGGTTGCAGCGAGCTGAGACAAGTTCGCACCATTGCACTCCAGCCTGGGTAACAGAACAAGACTCTCCTCAAAAAAAAAAAAAAGGTTAAATTAATGGTTTGACACCTGGTGAACACCATGAGGCGTAAGTGCATTCACCTGAATGACCAAGACTGCAGGGCAGGCTCCGGCCACCCTGAGTTCTCAGGGAGGGGAAACTGGACCTCAAACATCATCTCCTCCACACATCCAACTTCTCCTGCCATTTGTGGTACCTCCCTGGCCCCCTACCAGCGCCTACAAAGACAGTGCTCACAGACGTGTTAATAACATAAATTGGCACTGTTTACTGAGCACTTTACATACTGCATGCACCCATCCCCTCCCTTTATCCTCACACTGAGGATACTGGAGGTACTATTGGGTTTTTTTTGAGACAGAGTCTCGCTCTGTTGCTAGGTGCCAGGCTGGAGTGCAAGAGCGCGATCACGGCTCACTGCAACCTCTGCCTCCCGGGTTCAAGCAGTTCTCCTGCCTCAGCCTCCCGAGTAGCTGGGACTATAGGCGCCCAGCTAATTTTTGTATTTTTTAGTAGAGATGAGGTTTCACCACGTTGGCCAGGATGGTCTTGATCTCTTGACTTCATGATCTGCCCGCCTCGGCCCTCCAAAGTGCTGGGATTACAGGCGTGAGCCACCATGCCCAGCCAGTACTATTGTTACTCCCTTTTGCAGATGGGAAAGGAGGGCACAGAAGGGTTTCGTGAATTGCCCAAGATCACACAGCTGGTGTGAGTGCAGCCAGGATTTGAAGGCTAGCCCATGCAAGTGCATCTGAGGTTAACGGTTTCCAGGCTGTAGTACCTGAATAACCTGGATGGCCAGGAGTCCAGGATATTTGTAAAACATGCTCTACTGGCAAAGTTAACATTTATTACTAGTAATCACTTATGGTGTGCCCCAGACTCCTGTACTATGTCTTAAAGTGATTGTTAAATATGCAACAATGGGCTGGGCGTGGTGGCTCATGCCTGTAATCCCAGCACTTTGGGAGGCTTGGGCAGTGAGTGGGGGGCGTGAATCACCTGAGGTCAGGAGTTCAAGACCAGCCTGGCCAACATGGTGAAACCCGTCTCTACTAAGAATACAAAAATTAGCTGGGCATGGTAGTGCATGCCTATAATCCCAGCTACTCAGGAGGCTGAGGCAGGAGAATCACTTGAACACAGGAGGTGGAGGTTGCAGTGAGCAGAGATCACACCATCGCGCTCCAGCCTGGGCAACAAAGCAAGACTCTGTTTCAAAAAAAAAAAACATGCAACGATGACCATACCACCTGCACCAGTTAGCAGTCGTGCTGCAGAAAGATAAATTCACCTGTCTCCTCCATGTGTCAGTAACTTCCACGGTTAGACGTGGTGCTTTTATATAATAATGATGGGAGTCAGGTAGACAGGGCTGACCCTGTGCCAGGCATGCTCTGAGCCCTCTGTACACATTAACTAAGATGGGCCCAACTGTTATCTTCACTGTTATCCTTCCTCTTAGATGAGGAAACCCGTTCACTTGGCCAGGTTCCACGGCTGTCAGTGGCAGAGTTCAGATATAAACCCACTCTCTGCCCACTCGTTACACCTGCCTGAGCTGCAGCGGGGCTCGGGGGCCATTGTAAAGCAGACACAGCAGACCCCTTTGTCCCCAGACACCTGTGAAACAAACAGTGTTTAGCAGAGGACAGCGTGGCCTCCCCTGGGCCCTAGAGATGATTTTCATATCTCTGGAAGGCACGGATGGGTGGGATAAAAATTCCTTTGCCAGAAACATTGCCCAGGAAAGTATATTCAGCCCCAAATCCCAGTCCCATGGTGGGACTTCATCCCCTTCACCAATGACTTATGACAACCACCTCAGCCAAAATGCCATTCCAGAAAACCAGGGGGCATCTGTCAAGGTGGCCATCACAGCCAAAAGGAGCCTAAAGAGACACGACGTCTAAACTTCATGTGGCCTCTGGATGGGATCCTAGGACAGCAAAAGGACATGAGGAAACATATAAGGAAATCTGAGGAAGTATGGACGTCTGGTTAATAAAACTGTTAGCAATAGTGGTTCATTCATTATAACAAATGAAGCAAACTCATGGAAGATGCTGCCAATAGAGAAACTGAGTGTGGGGCTTATGGGAGCTCTCTGTACTAGTTTTGCAATTTTTCTCTAGATTTAAATTGGTTTTTAACTTTTAAAATTATTTGTATTTTTTAAGGAGATGGGGTCTCACTGTGTTGCCCCAGCTACAGCGCAGTGGCTGTTCACAAGCACCATCCCACTACTGATCAGCAGGGGAGTTTCGACCTGCTCCATTGCCAGCCTTGGCTGGTTCACCCCTCCTTAGGCAACCTGCTGGTCCCCTGCTCCCGGGATGTCACCATATTGATGCTGAACTTCGTGTGGGCACCTGATTGGCACAGCACACCACAGCCCAGATCTCCTGCACTCAAGCGATCCTCCAGCCTCAGCCTCCAGAGTACCTGGGATGAAAGGCACACTTTTTAAAAATAAACCATTATAAAAATGACATACTCATTGATGATACTACTTCATTTTATAGCTACCTCTTATTTTTCACATTTCAATTTGTCTTAGCTCTGAGTGCTATAACAGAATGCCATAGATCTGATGGCTTATACAGCAGACCTTTATTCCTCACAGTGCTGGAGGCTGGGTGTCAGAGGCCCGGGTGCCAGCAGATTTGGTTCTGGGTGAGGGCTCTTGCCCTGGCTTGCTGGCAGTGGGTGTCTCTCTGTGCCCTCACATGGCTGAGAGGGGAAGCTCTGGTGACCCTTCAACTTCTAACGAGTCCCATCATGGGAGCTCTACCTTAATAGCCCAATTACCTCCCAAAGGTGGGGTCTCCAAAGACCGCCACACTGGAAGCTAGAGCTTCAACGTATGGATTGGGAGCCGGGACCTGAACATGCAACCCATAATACAATGGAATTCCATAAGAGCATATCAATGCCAAAAAGAGTGGTGTGCTTGAAACGGCAGTAATCCTTCCTTTCACCTCACACCTGTTCGGATGGCCACATGGAAACAAACAAGGAGTGCTGGGTGGGTCATAGAGACACCGGAGGACTGCCCCATCGCTGGGGAACGGAAAATGGTGCCGCTGCTATGGAGAACATGTGGAGTGTCTTTCCGCAACTACAGTGAATCTACCGTGTACCATTAGCAGTCCCACTTCAAAGAATTCATCAAAAGAACGAAAATCAGAATTTCCAGGAGATACCTGCAGCCCCACGTTCACTGCGGCAATATTCACAGCAGCCAAGATGTCCCCCATATCCAATGTCAAATGAATGGATAGAGAAAATGTGGTCTATCCACACTGCAGAATATTATTCAGCCTTGAAAATGAGGGAAATCCTACTGGGAACTTGGAGGATGTTACACCTAGTGAAATAAGCCAGGCCTACAGGGACAAACGCTGCACGATTCCACTTCAATGAGGGACTAAAATAGTCAACCCCACAGAGGCAGAGACTGGAATGGTGGTTGCTAGGGGGAGGGCGAGCTGGGGATTTGCTGCTCAGTGGACATAAGTTTCCATTACGCAAGATGAATGAGTTCTAGCTATCCACTGGCCAACATGGTACCTACAGTAAGCAACAGCGCACCATGCACTGAAGCATGTGTTAGAAGGATGACCCCCGGCTAAGTGTTCTTACCACAAAAGTAGACAAATAAACAGAAAACAATGGCATACGAGGACACTTTTAGGAGTAATGTGTGTAGCTATGACCATGATGATAGGCATGGTTTCACAGGTGTGTGCAGATGTCCAAACTCATCAAATGTATACATCAAATGTATACATCAAATACACACGGTTTTCTAAATATATCAATTACATGTCAATAAAACTGAAAAAGAAAAAGGATAAAAATGACCCTTCCTGCCACACGTCAAGACCCCTGCCCCTCTCTCTGTTTCCTCCCCAAAGGGTAAACCGGAGATGTGGTCCTAACCAGAAACCCCCTGTGGCCAGGACTCTGAGGCACCTCCTGGGGCAGAGGAGCAGCTCACGTCACCTGCCGTGGGGACTCTCCCAGCCAGTGCAGCTCTATCCTGCTATCGCTCCTGTTGCTGGAGTCACAGTGGCATCGTGTGTTCAAATCCACACACTTGACAAGGATGAGATAAGCTAGGACAGCCTCCATGGCAGGAACAGCTGTAGAGACACCTTGGTTGGAAGTGAGAAGGCGCTGCTCTGACTTTGACCCAGGCCACTCTGAAGGAGGCAGCAGCCCAGGAGGCACCCGGGTGGACAGGGCAGGAAGTAAGGCGTTGCTCCCTACCCACCGATGTGGCTTTCAAGTAAAGATCTGGAATGAGGCTGGGTGCAGTGGCTAGCACCTGTAATCCCAGCACTATAGGATGCCAATGTGGGTGGATCACCTAAGGTCAGGAGTTCGAGACCAGCCTGGCCAACATAATAAAACCCCATCTCTACTAAAAATACAAAAAATTAGCCAGGCATGGTTGTGGGCACCTGTAATCCCAGCTACTCAAGAGACTAAGGCAGGAGAATTGTTTGAACCCAGGAGGTGGAGGTTGCAGTGAGCTGAGATCTCGCCATTGCACTCCAGCCTGGGCAAAAGTGCAAGACCTGGTCTCAAAAAAGAAAAAAAAGATCTGGAATGAAGCCCCGGCTCTGCCTGTTCCCAGCACAAGCAGCCCTGAGCAAACCACATATCCCTGTGAGCCTCAGTTTCTTCATCTGTGAGCCAGAGACTCTAGGAACGCCCGCCTCACGTGATTGCAGTGGAGGTTACAGGAGAGCGGATATTAACACAGATGTGGAGGGGCCTCTTGGGGAACTAGGCACAGAAACAGTTAAGGGGGCTTTGTCTGGGGCTGGGGCCAGGCTTTGGAAGGTGTGGGGTGGGGGAATGCTACTTCCACTGAACCGTGTGAATCTATATTCAGATTATTTGGATAAAATAACTGTACACATTTTTTTTGTGTTTTTTTTTTTGTTTTGTTTTGTTTTTATTTTGTTTTGTTTTGTTTTTGAGACAGAGTCTCCCTCGGTTGCCCAGGCTGGAGTGCAGAGGCGTGATCTCAGCTCACTACAACCTCTACCTCCCCAGTTTAAGCGATTCTCCTGCCTCAGCCTCCTGAGTAGCTGGGATTACAGGTGCACGCCACCACACCCGGCTAATTTTTGTATTTTTAGTAGAGGGGGTTTCACCACGTTGGCCAGGTTGATCTCGAACTCTTGACCTCAGGTGATCTGCCCACCTCGGCCTCCCAAAGTGCTGGGATTATAGAGCCGATATATATTTTTTAAATGAAGTATGCTTACACTGCCTTAAATTTTTAATTTGTGCAAATTCATGGAGTACATGAGATTTTGTTACACATATAACGTGTAGTGATCAAGTCAGGTATTCCGGTGTCCCTCACCCAAGCATAATACCTGGTACAGTCACCCTGCTCTGTGATCACACATTGACTCTGCTCCATCTTACTTGCATTTGTGCCCTTTCACCTACTTCTCTTCATTCTCCCCGCCCGCCCCACACCGCTCGCAGTGTTATCTCTTTCTGGATACGTGTTTAAAGGTGACCCCCACCCTGGTCCAGCACACAGAGCAGACGGGGCAGCTAGGGGTGATCAGAAGATTCATTCCGCTGCTGGAGGCCTTGCCTGGGTCTTCCTGGAAAGAGCAAAGGGAGAGTGCTGATAGGAATCTAGAAAAGTCTCATGAGAGGGACTGGCAGACACTAACTCATTCACCAAACCCCACAATGCCAGAGAGCAGCTCTCCTTCAAGGCAATTGTAGGACAGATCTGCAGCAGCTTATACATGTACGGATCCTGTTAACCCAAGACACGTACGGTGCAGGCAGGAATCATAGAGAGATAGGTCAGGACGGGTCTCCATAAATCTTCTGCCATGAAATCACACGTGTGTCTCTGAGGGAAGCCACGGAGGTCTTGTTCTGGCCCCCAGGCTAAAGTGCAGTGGTACGATCATGGCTCACTGCAGTCCCCAACTCCTGGGCTCAAGTGATCCTCCTGCCTCAGCCTCCCTAGCAGCTGGGACTACAGGCATGTATCACCACACCCAGGTACTTTTGTATTTTTTGTAGAGATGGGGTCTTACTATGTTGCCCAGGCTGGTCTCAAACTCCTGGCCTCAAGCAATCCTTCCACCTCAGCTTCCCAAAGAGTTGGGATTATAAGTGTGAGCCAGTTCACCTGGCCTGTCCCTGCCTTTTGAGGGGAGGGCATCTGTGCCCTGCCCTCATCCAACCCCTCACTCTGGCAGACCTTGGTATCCCCTCAGGAAAGTCTATAGGTGAATCATGGGTGTGATCTTGTCCAATAAGGACTGTCAGAGAGAGCCACATTGGAGGTGTAGCCAATGGGTAGATCCAGAAAAGTGGGTAGATGGGAACAGAGACCCATTGCACCTCTCGGCCCATGACAAACAAGTACAGAGGTCACCCTTCCCCACCTCCATTGCCCATGCCCCAGCCTCCCTACCAGCCATACACAACAGGCACACACCCCCTACAGACACACCCACCACATACCCCACACACATGCAGTGCCACGGTGGGGGTGGGGGCAGCACAGGAGCCGGAGTCGCAGGCTCGGGGCCCCAGCGTCGCCCACCACCCATCTCTAACAAGATCTCGGGTGCCCCGGAATCTCCCTGAGCCTCGGCTTCCACAGCTCTGAGTACAGATCTGCCTCCAAAGAGACATGGTAACCAACAAATAGAAATAAAATGTCTCTAAAGAGCTTTCTAAACTGCGAGTCAGCTTATCAAGTAAGCTGGTTTTTTTCTTAATGAAATGGTCCCTTCTTCGTTGGACCCCAGAAGACGTGATGTCTTAGTCCAAGGAAGTTAGAAGAGGGTGAGTGAGGGAGAGCCAGGGAGGAAGAAGAGCCAGGAGAGGAGGACAGACGAGCAGGAGCCGTCCCCGCCCCCACAACACGACCCCGGTGCACACCCACTGGCCAGAGATGGAAACTGCACCAGCCGCAGGGTTGCAAGGAGCGAAAGAGCTGAGTCTACTCAGCAGATAGACCAAGTTCCTGTTTATTTTGAAAGAGACACTCTATCCCTCAAAGCAACTGGCAGCCAGTCATGTCACACAAAGATGTGAATTCCAGGCCGGGTGCGGTGGCTCATGCCTGTCATCCCAGTATTTTGGAAGGCTGAAGCAAGTGGATTGCCTGAGCTCAGGAGTTGAGACCAACCTGGGCAACATGGTGAAACCCTGTCTCTACTAAAATACAAAAAATTAGCCGGGCGTGGTGACATGCACCTGCAGTCCCAGCTACTCAGGAGGTTGAGGCAAGAGAATTGCTTGAACCCACCTGGGAGGTGGAGGTTGCAGTGAGCCTGAGATCGCACCACTGCACTCCTGCCTGCGCTACAGAGCAAGATTCCATCTAAAAAAAAAAAAAAAGATGTGAATTCATGAACCAATTGGCTGGCAATTTCTGCATGTGTTCTCTTCTCATTTCTCCTGCTTGCAGTGGCCTCACTGGGCACAGCCAGGTTTCCCATTCTCGAGGCGCGGTGGTGGTACGTGCCTTTGGGGAGAAGGGGCTGGGGCTGGGGGGCGTCTGGATCATGAAACAGTGACTCACTCCCTTCCTGCTGCAGTTGCACACACTCTTAGTGAAGAAGGGAGAAATGATTAACTCTAGGAAACTGGCTCATTTGCATAGACGTGCATAAATTATGCCTCCTCACAGAATGATCTGAGCATGAGTAAAAGCAAATGGGCATGTGTTCTTCTGTTCCCCTTCTCCATCTGTTTTTCTCCTTCCCCTCCTGCCACTTCTGTAAACATACCAAAACCGTTTTCAGCTTCTCATGCAGAAAGTACACGTTGGTGCATGTATTACACAGAGATTTGCAGAATGTTGATATCTCAGGGTCACCAGAAGTCCTGCTTTCTTCCATCTTTCTCTCCCTACCTTCTCTCCAAATTCATTTCTACCATTTTCTCTGCAAAACAGAATGCTTCAGATTTCAGCATTCAGCACGCATGGAAGCTGAGAATTCTTGAGCCAACAGGGCAATGATGGACCAGCATGGAGCTCCATAAACTCAGGGATGCTGGCCGCACTGCGCTGTGCCTCCAGGGTCTATGATTGGACAAACAAGACGCCTTTGGCCATTTTATGAGGGACAAAGCAGGCCTGGAGCATGGCTGTGGTGTGACTGGATTTACAAAGCTTATTACAGACCAAGACAAAGTGCTGAGCAGAGTCCAGGGATCCACACTGCCCGGTTATGCTGGCACTGGCCGAATGGGCAGACTCACCTCTGTGCCCTTAAAGGCCGTTTCCAGCCATCTTCATCCACAGAACAGAGCAGCAGATGAGCCGGGCCTGGAGCAACAAAGGCAGAGCACTGCCAAGGCCTGCGTGGGCTGCAGCTCATGCAGACGTGTGTCACCTGCCCCATCTGAGCTGACTCCTGAGGCAGGCAGCTCTGAAGGCTCTCAGGGACTGGCATTCGTCCCAGGAACAGGGGCCAAGGGCAAATCGCTTCTTAATTACTGCTTACAATGCAAGTTTTTGCTTTGGCCTGGGCAATAGCCAATCCCCCAAAACATAGTGAGTCTCTTATCAGCCTGCAGTTAACTGATCCTGGGAATTGATCCTTGCCTTATCCACGGATTCTACTGTAACTAAAGAAGCTGCAGCCACCACCCCTGGCCACAGGCTGTTCTCACAGCTTGAGGATACCTGATGGCTCTCATCTGGGCCCCTTTCTCCCCATACCCACCCACCCTGCTCTGAAGATGGTCTGCAGCAAGGCCCTCCTCATTAGGAGCCTCAAACATACAGCCCACCCCACCTGTCCTGTTCCACCTGGCCTGGGGGCCTGGAGAAAGCCCAGCTCCAGCCACAACCTGAGCACCTCCGCCTGCTACTCCCTGCAACGTTCACAGAGCGGCATTACCATCTGCCTTTCATGGGGTTTTCACACACAGTCCTCGGGGCCAGAAACAAAAGCAAAAAAATGTGACTTTCTCACCTTCCGGCGAAGATACTGAGATTTAGGCAGCAGAACAGAATCACAAACTCAGAACCCTGGCAGCAAAGAAAGTAGGGGGATTTAATATACCCAGCACCGACAGCAGATGACCCCACAATCTCAGTGGCTTAACACCAGGAGTTCACTGCTTGCTCATATCAGTCTAATGGGAACCAGCTGGCTTTCCAGGCGGCTGCTGTCCAAGTGGGCACTTAGGGATGACACCTTTAGTTCTAAGGTTTGCCTCAGGAGGTGAACACGAGGAATATGGTGCAGGTGAATTTATGGCCAGGCCTGAAATAACACACATCTCATCTGCACACATTTCACTGGCCTGAACCAGTCGCATGATTGCTGACTGCAAGGGAGGCTGGGGAATCCGTTCTTCATGGGGGACCAGAAGAGGAAATGACAGGTGAGCATCCACGACTACACCTGCTACAGAGGTGATAATGACACTGACTTTTATTGACGGAACCCTATAACCCAAGTATTGTGATAGGAGCTATATAAGCATCATCTCATTCAATCTCCATGACAGCTCATGAAGGATTACTCATCTTCATTTTACACATGCAGAGATTCAGAGATCAAGCCATCTGACTCCAAGATCCTGCTCTGACATAGGAATATATTCTTCTTGTGCAAAATTAAAACATTACAGAGCTGCCTTCTTGGCCACCTTGCCCTTTATCCTGGATTCCCCACACACACCCCCAAATTCACCAGAGATGACAGTGTGATGTGTGTCCTGAATCTCTTTGTATGTGCATTTATATGCATGTGCTCATATGATTATCCGATTGATTTATCATTTTCTTTAAAAAACAGAACTGTGGGCCAGGCACTGTGGCTCACACCTATAATCCCAGCACTTTGGGAGGCCAAAGTGGGCAGATCACTTGACGTTAGGAGTTCGAGACCAACATGGTGAAACCCTGTCAGTACTCAAAAGTAGCTGGGTGTGATGGCATGCACCTGTAATCTCAGCTACTTGGGAGACTCAAGCACAAAAATCATTTGAAACTGGGAGGCGGATGTTGCAGTGAGCCGAGATCACGCCACTGCACTCCAACCTGGGCGATACAATAAGACTCAGTCTCAAAAAAAAAAAAATACATTATTATGCAACAAATATCTAGCACATTCCTCTGCATAAAACACCTGGGGATATTTTTCTACTAGATCACATAGGCTCCCAACTTTCCACCATAGAGTGAGTAATCCCTTTGGACCAAGGTATAGACTCTAGAAGGTTCTTGGCTAAAATGCGAAGACCTCACAGAGGAAGGGGGAAGCATGAAGCATTAACACTCACTCACACCTGCGCACAGCACCACTGGTCACTGCAGAGCCACACCCAGGGAGACCAGGCACAGGACTCACGCTGTGGAGACGCTCTTCCCCAGTGGCCAGCCCTAAGCCCCTGGCCTGGTTTGGGGGCGCTGTTTTCTGTGCCCTGAGACTCTGTCTCTCGTCAAATTGCCTAGAACACTGGGAGTTGGGGGATAAATGGATCCCTTGAAGGTGAAGAAAAAGATCTCATCCTTTTTGAAAGAGAGACCAGACTACACCAGCTTGAAAATAGCCCCAGGTCTGGACAGCTGAACTTACTGCCCCTAAGGTGATCTCATGCAATCCTCCCATAACTGTGCTGACAGCCTGCTATCCGCATTTTACAACTGGACACATCAAGTCCAAGGCAGGGAGTAGATGGCCTGAGGCTATACTGCAAAGTCCACTCCCCACTGCAGGGAACGTTGCTTCAGGGGCCCTGGGCCAGACCCAGTCTCCAGGCCTGTGACCACCACTCCCGGTGCGACCAGCCCCTGTCCACCGGAGCTTGACCTGCCTCTGTCCACCTGGAGCTTTACTGATCGAAGTTTCTACCCTCCAGGGCCAGACAGGGCACCAGGGACTAGAATCAAAGCCAAAGAGAATTTAAAAATCACTAAACTGTGTGAACTTGGAACCAAGCTTCAACATTATTTTAGGGACCTCTGAACCACATTTGGAGGGGCTCACTTCAAATCCCCTGCTCGTTGT